CTGTCTCCATAGTTGATGTGGATATCGTGTAAAACTTGAATTGTGAGTATTAAATGACCTTCTACCTTTGACCTTTTAACATGACCCCTTATTTACCTTATCCTTTGCTCTCCGTGAATAGAGCCATTTTTGCTGAAAGTTCAGGATTTTACAATCCTCGATATAGCATTCTTCTTCTTTAAAAATGTCACTGTTGTTGCACCCATTCCTTTGATCACTCAGTAGATGCCACCGTCTGCAACGATCGAAATGGTGCATAGTTCAGCGTAAACTCACAGCTCGCTATGGTGTGACAGTAGTTCTGTAGCGGTTCTACAGCCCACCTCCTTTAAACTCGAGACGCCACTGACGTGTTCTTCCAGGGTAAATATTGGTCGCCCAGCCGTGCTGTAGTATTCCGTACTACTCGTGACCTTGACAAGTCCGGCGCGTGGTTTGATAACAGAGGTGGTCGACGACTCTCGGCAGATAGTACAGAGATCTCTTCTAGAAGGCGGTTAACCTCAGAGTGAACAGCAGACAAAGCTTTCTTATCATCGGACATTATGACACACGCAAAGAATGAGGTCGGAAAGTTCTGACATCGGTATGGATTCAATAGGATAGAACGATATCAACGAAAAGTGTAGAAAAACTAGTTTAACAAAACAGGTGGGAAAAATATCTGGGATTCCAGTCTCTAGAAGTACAAAATCGATACGGGATGAAACGATCAAACCGGGGGGAAGTGTTCGCTCGTTCGAGACGGTAGAGGTGTAGTACGGTAATGACGCGAGTGCGATATCAATCGGTACGCGAACTGAAGAAGACCAATTCACAAGTTAAACGATAATACAGATTAGGAAAAGCTACAGATATAAATCAACAACACTTCTAAGTACAGTAAAATAAAAACGCATTTAGCATTTATTAAAGTATGTTCCACTGCGTGTCCTAATTCCCCACCCATAAAACTCTATAACCACCGTTTTCGTAGGAAAACATGCAGGGAGTAAGGATTAATGAGTGGGCCTAAATAAGCTACTGTTGCCGTTTGAGCTTTCAAAATCTTGCGGAAGTCCATTGTCAGAGAAGAAAGCGTCAACGAAAAGCAAACAACATTTATAGGGGGCAGAGGCCAAGCAACTGTTATAGGGAGCGGAAGAGGGAAAGGAGCCAATTAACCACCAGCACCGTCAGTCCAGAGATGCCTGCGCAGGGCGATCTGAGTGGGCGCCAGCTCAATACATCGGTTGACTTCGTTGTCATCCAAGGCCCGGGCTTCAATCAATTCTCGGCCTGTCTTGTCGCCAGCGTATGTGATTATCCTCGCAGTTGCAAAGTTAAATTCGTGACCCGTGGGCAGCCGCTTGCGATAATGCATCACTCCGTCGTACAGGCAGTTTATGCTCGTGTATGCTCGAACCAAGCATGTGTCCAATCTGTCCTGTGTAATAAAGGGGA